GTCATCACCACCCACCACCAACTCTTGGGTTACTCTTTTACCAACGAATAGTTGGATTGACCGTCACATTATAACGCCCCCACGGCTGAAAGGGCGAGCATGTTTGGTGTGACGGGGATTCGAACCCGCGACCCTAAGATTGGGAGTCGAGCGCCCTAACCACCTGGCCATGCCGGGCCTGAAAATAGAGGTGTGCAGAAATGTTCAGTAACAGATTTTGCCATTGGTCAGCGTAAGCCAAATGCTTATTAATAGTTCTTCTCATTGGCTTGTGTAAAACAAATGCTTATTAATAAATCTTTCCATTGGTCTGTTAAAATAAATGCTTATTAATAGCTCTTCTAATTAGCTTTTATAAAACAAATGTTTATTGATAAGTCTTTCCATTGGTCAATTAAAATAAATGCTTATTAATAGCTCTTCTAATTGGCTTGTGTAAAACAAGTGTTTATTGATAAGTCTTTCCATTGGTCAATTAAAATAAATGCTTATTAATGGCTCTTCTAATTGGCTTGTGTAAAACAAGTGTTTATTGATAAGTCTTTCCATTGGTCTGTTAAAATAAATGCTTATTAATAGCTCTTCTAATTGGCTTGTGTAAAACAAGTGTTTATTGATAAGTCTTTCCATTGGTCAATTAAAATAAATGCTTATTAATGGCTCTTCTAATTGGCTTGTGTAAAACAAGTGTTTATTGATAAGTCTTTCCATTGGTCTGTTAAAATAAATGCTTATTAATAGCTCTTCTAATTGGCTTGTGTAAAACAAGTGTTTATTGATAAGTCTTTCCATTGGTCTGTTAAAATAAATGCTTATTAATAGCTCTTCTAATTGGCTTGTGTAAAACAAATGAGTATTCATAAATCTTCTACTTTGTGTGTACACGTCTTAATCTGATTCAATATTTTACACTCACGAACAGGACTCAGGAGGAATAAGGAAGAAGAATGGCTGTGATCCTTCAGGACCACAGAACTAATGCTTTGGAGTTGAAGGAACTCCACCAGACGAACAACGTATCTCAGTTTCAAGGTGTAGTTTGGAGTGAACTTTCTGAAGACCTCACAGACCTTCCTAACTCGTCGCACTTTACAGACCAATCTTTATCGTTAGAAGTGCACGTTGCGGGTCTGCTGGTAATTCTTACAGCTAGCTCAATTAGTAATGGTCTTGCTTTGCTCGTGTTTTACAAAAAGCCACTTCTACGTACCAGTTCCAATAGGTTTGTGTTAAATTTGTCAGTGACCCACATGTTGCATTCCGTGCTCGTGTTGCCATTCACAGTAATTTCGGTTATTCATGAAGGATGGATATTTGGTGACATCTGGTGTCAAGGGAGCGGAGTCATGTCACTTTGTCTGGGTTTAGAAACAGCATTTTCTTTGGTCTTGATATCTATGGACAGAAATAGAGCAGTGAACAGCCCTCTACAATACACCTCTTCCACGACGAAACGCAGAACAGTATATCTCATCATTGGAAGCTGGTCCTTGTCGGTTCTTCTAGTTTTGCCGACAGCAACTGGTGTCTCGAAAATTAAGTTCAAACCTTCCTGGAATCACTGTGTACTTTCTGGTCCTCTAGGTGACTCCGTGAACATACTTTATGCTGCGCTATTGACCTCTACCGGGTTCTTGCTTCCTTTCATCAAGATAAGTTCGATTTATTTCTCCATGCTTCAAGCTGCTCGTGCTAATAATGCGCGGGCGCGAAAGCACAGTCTAGGAACCATCATCCCTGATGCTCAAATTCCAGATTCTTCGACCAAGGGTTCGAACCCCTCCGTTCCAAAGACAAAATCTTGTCGGCGCAGCTCCAACACCAGCCAATCTTCCGTGTTTGGAGACGAATGGAAAGCCATTCGAACTGGACTCTTAGTGAGCACTTCTTTTCTGTTTTGCTGGGGTCCTTACTTCATAGTTTTATTTGTAAGTAGCTTTGTTAGTGAAGACAACTGGATGCCACCGTACTTTGCAGAATTGGTTAGTTTAATGGCGGTGGCGTCAGCTATTATTGATCCATACATTTATGTTTTTCGAAACAAAGCAGTTCGAAAGAACGTCAAAAGACTTTTTTTGTGTTCCAGCAATGCTTCTCATTTACCGAGCGTGAGAAACCGAAAACCACAGCAAGTGCCCAGTACAGCAGTGCTAAAACTGACATCTGGAAACACTGTAGAACACATCGTGGTTCCCTCAGTGGGTAACTCAGCTCTCCCCTCGAAGAACAAAGACGTGAAGAATAATTCAGAAATATTTTCTCAGTCGAACCAGAGCTACACAGGTGAACTTTTTGATAACTTTGTGTGCTACCCACCGAAAGATATTCCGATTATCAACCAAAAAGTATTGATTACTGAGACAAAAGGAGATGAGAACTGTACACCACACAGGTCTATCAGACCAGCTGAAAGAGTTGAAAAATCCTTAATGTTTTATCTGTTCACTCCATCTTCCAGTAGTCTCTAAAGATAATTAATTGTGTTTAGAATATTTCCCTCGACATTATCCTCTATTATATCAAAGTACATACATATATTTATCTATTTATACATTTCAATGTGTAAAGCACCATGTATTTAGAAATAATCCCTAATGAAGTTCATGTTTGTTGGCCAAATGTAATTTTCGTATCGAAATATCTTATAATATTGACGTTTGATTTTGGCGTATAGATTCTAGTTATATAAGAGAGAGAGAAAGAGACTTATTGCACTTTGTAAACTTTGTTTAGCCTTAACTACTTAGGTTATTTTACCATTTGTTTCTACAGAAAGAAAACAAGCGTTTTAAGTTTGTTAATGGTTGCACGAAGTTTAAATACCGTTTTCTTTTACCATCTGAATAACAGTGACGATATATATATGACAAAAAACAGTACTGTCTGTTCGTGGCCTATGCTACAGTTTTACCCACTAATGATGTATGACAACAAACAGTGCTGTCTGTTTGTGGCTTATGCTACAGTTTTACCCACCAATGATGCATGACAAGAAACAGTGCTGTCTGTTCGTGGCTTATGCTACAGTTTTACCCACCAATGATGTATGACAAAAAACAGTGCTGTCTGTTCGTGGCTTATTCTACAGTTTTACCCACTAATGATGCATGACAAGAAACAGTGCTGTCTGTTCGTGGCTTATGCTACAGTTTTACCCACCAATGATGCATGACAAGAAACAGTGCTGTCTGTTCGTGGCTTATGCTACAGTTTTACCCACCAATGATGCATGACAAGAAACAGTGCTGTCTGCTCGTGGCTTATGCTACAGTTTTACCCACTAATGATGCATGACAAGAAAGAGTGCTCTCTGTTCGTGGCTTATGCTACAGTTTTTATCCACTAATGATGCATGACAAGAAACAGTGCTGTCTGTTCGTGGCTTATGCTACAGTTTTTACCCACTAATGATGCATGACAAGAAACAGTGCTGTCTGTTTGTGGTTTATGTTACAGTTTTACCCACTAATGATGCATGTCTGTTCGAGGTAAAGTTTTACCCACTAATGAGTATGCGCGTATTATTCATGTGATTGTCTCACTACAGTAATCAACTACAGGATACCTATCATATTTGTAACTATTCACCTTTTAACCTAACAATGGCAATGAGTAAACTACAGCACCGCAAGCCTAGAAAAGATGTACATTCCGCCATTTTAGAAACCGAAAACAAAGATTGTTTGTCTGTAGGCCAAATATTTGTTAGCAGGAAAAGTTCCCGTCTTTTATTGAGGTGTTCTTTCTGGTGCTGTGTACGGAATTGAGCGAATTATAAAGCTAATACGATGATACTTTATTTAGTTCAAATATTTGTACGTTTAGCAAGTTTTTTTTTCACGACTATATGATATATATTTTGTATATGTAGATTTTTATTTTTTGACAAACTGAATGTGGTACATACTTGAGAACAATATCGTTTGAAAAACTTAAGGAAACACTTTTCGTCCATCTAAAAGTTTATCGTCATTCAGAAGCGATAAAAATGGATAATCTAAAAACTGTAATTCTAATCTTAAATTATGCATTAGAGGATAAGGTAGGCACTAGAGCAGCGCGCGCTGGAGGTTTTAGTTTCAGCTCTGTTTGGAATACTTCGCTTGTCATTCTCTTCGTAAGCAGTGTGTTTCACACTTGATTAAACCAGTTATTTTCCTTGGTACTTTAGGAAATATAATTTTAGCATCTTTTGTCTATTGTGATTTGTCTTGACTTCGCTATGTATGCGTAAAGAAAAGAAATAGCCTAAAGTATTTACTGAAAGATAGTTCTAACGCAAACATGTGTTGACATTTGAAATGTTCAAACTTATGTCTCTGTTTTTGAAAATTCATGTACAGAATTAATAGCAACAGATAACTCAATAGAAAGGAAATTATTCATTATTTGAAACTTAGAAGATACAGGCAAAACTTTACTATGTAAACCGAGTGTCAAAAGACACAAATTAAGTTAGGCCTAATAAAATAAGTGTCTTTTGATTCAGGCAAAACTTTACTATGTAAACGAAGTGTCAAAACACACATTTAAGTTAGACCTAATAAAATACGTGTCTTTTGATCCAGGCAAACTTTACTATGTAAACGAAGTGTCAAAACACACATTTAAGTTAGGCCTAATAAAATACATGTCTTTCGATCCAGGCAAAACTTTACTATGTAAACGAAGTATCAAAACACACATTTAAGTTAGGCCTAATAAAATACTTGTCTTTCGATCCAGGCAAAACTTTACTATGTAAACGAAGTGTCAAACACACATTTAAGTTAGGCCTAATAAAATACGTGTCTTTTGAGCTGCGGCGTATTTTTAGTATTATTATTCTTGGAATACCTCCGAAAGGTCGGGATTTGATAAGATCTGTATAGAACATTACTTGCAGTAGACTTATGACGAAATCCTGACCACTTGGGTGCCTGATTAAGTGTTAATCCATCTATTCTGTTTAAGCCATTTCAATTTTATAGGGTTGGAATCAGAACGTTTTTTTAAAATAATTTTCTGTATGAAGAAGTGTTTTTCAAGTATTTTTAAATAACTTATTTCGTTTATATTACAACATATGTTAAATGAAATGACATGATTAATTCCACCCCTATTATTCTTCACTGAAAGGTCACTATTCAGTATTGGTCCATGGTAAGCCAAACATTGTAATGCGAACTTAAATCAGTAATTAAGGTCAGACAAAAGTAAAACGTCAACTTGCCCAGAAAGGCAAATATGTTCCTTAGAGTGCTATATTAGTGACGCATGAACCGAGAACTCCCCCACCTCTAGAAAAAGTGAGAGCGCCAGCTCAAGTAGGGGACCAAAAAACAAACAAAAAAACTTACACTTAGAGATTTAAAATTAAAAAAAAGAAAGATACATATTGTATAGTATTACTAGTCACTGAATAGCAATACCCTTCACGTGTTGCGGGGTGGCTTTCAGAGGGTGTTTTGACCCCCCCCCCCCCCGGTAGAGGGGCTACGCCACATAGATAAGGACAGTTCCTTGGCCTGCAAAGTAAGGTTCTGCTACCTCCAAAACTGTGGGAGGACAGACAAACAAGCTCACACTGACGAACAAACAAGTTCACATACAACATGCATAAATGGAGGATAACAGTAATTAAAACGAGTTTTGATAGCCATGAAAGTAAAGCACTAAAATAGTTTATACTGCTTTGTTCGAACATTAACCTTAGAAGTTTCAAAATGAAGAGGAGAAAGCTACTTATATGATACAAAACGTCCATAAAAGAAGCAGGAATATTGGTAGAAAAACAATATAACGAAAAAAAAAATGAAACATTAGGGAGAGGGTTTGTTTGTTTGTTATGGATTTCGTGCAAAGCTACACGAGGGCTA